GGGGGGGGGGGGGGGGGGGGGGGGGGGGGGAGAAAGAGAAGTGTCGATATCGATAGTGGGTTGTTGTTGTGCGAGAGTGTCGCGAGTATAGTGGTGTTTGATAGGTCGGCAGGTGTAGTTGGGTGGTGCGCGGAGTGAGATCGGGGAACAATGTGCGCGCCGCTTAGAAGAAACCGTCTCCGGTGGGGTCGTTGAGCCACGGGTAGTTGTTGGGGCACCGGACGCACGTTTGCAGGTTGATGGTCTCCCCGGGCACCTCCTTGCTAGTCAGCTTGCACGAGTGCGGCACCCAGCAGGCAGGCGGTCCCTCGACCACGCACTTCTCCCTCCATGGCTCGAAGTTCTTCACCTCGTTGATAATCCTCGGCTTCTGGATCCACTGGATCACCTGCGTCATGGTGACGAAGTATACGTCGTTGTGGTTGGCCAGCACCTCGTCAATCCAGAACAGGAACGCGTCCAGGTACTCGGGGTTGTTCTTCAGCCACGCCGCGTGGAAGTACAGGCCCATGGGCGCGCGATTCTGGTCGTAGTGCCGGTCGAAGTTGTGATTCAGGAAGTTGTAGAACTGGTCGCCGGACAGGATGTTAGAGCACGAGTCCACCATTGCGCACCCGGGCAGGTACTCGTCGAAGTTAGGGTCCTCCCGCCGGTCCAACTCGTTCATCACCATCTCCCACACCGCGTGGCTACGGGTCGGGCAGTGCTGCAGGTTCCCGTGACACCTGCGTAAGCGCGTCGGCAACAAAATCACATACGGTATTAGTGTCGTACGCGACCAAGAGACGCAGTGGTAGACGCCGCGAACGGGACCGAACACCACGAGAAATCGCATTATCGCGGCGCGATTCGGAAATCTCTTCGACCAACGGCCCTCGTTCGAAGCGATTGTTCGCCCGAAGGAAACCGTTCGTCGCGCGTTACGAAAGCGTTTGCGCACCGCACTTGCGTTCCACGCACGTTCGCCGTCGATGCACCGCTCGATCTTTACATACCATCGCGATACGATATGTTCGCGGCTAGAAACGAAGTTGTTGAAAACGCTACGGTGGCGTGCCGAGGTTAACGCGTAGTTAACAGAGCGAAGAGATTGAAAAATCGTCCGACGCCTTTTGGGCCCACCGCGTGGTCACATTAAAATATAATACCAATACTGTTGTCTGTAGAGAGCCCGCAGCGTTTCTCAAATTTCTAGTTAGTCTCCCATAAGTTTTGGACAAGTATTATACGCGCAGATCTACTGATATTTCCGCACGTTTCCGCTGTATAAACTACGTTCGTTACGCGTGCTTCTAACGAGGCTCTCTCCTAAATGGCACACGAGTATCACGGAACGTCAAGCTTTTGTTCTCAAAACCCCCGGATCTATTTTACCACATTGGACTGTGCGAACTTTGGTGAAACAGCATCGTTTTCGAATTAATAATGACTACAACCAGGCCCACGTGTACCACACGTTTTAATGTCGTACAGGATATGAAATATTTGCTTCCCACGCACGCGTGTATTTCGATTGAAAAAAAAAATATCTTGACGTTTATCTCATTGACGGTCGGGGTACCCCTTCTTCGATCAACTCCGTCAGTATATCCCCCCCGCGGCGAGTTGATTAATTTGTAGACCACTGATTATACTTCCGTTTTCATTCGTTCCGCAGCTGCTCTCTTTTATGAATACGTTTCGGTGTACGAAATGTAAACATGTACGAGTATACCCTGCAGCCGATACCGGCCAAACGGAACTCGAGAAACGGAAATTTGCATTTTTACGACGTTACGCGTTCGCGAGAAATTTATTCTTCGACACAACAGTATTGTATTATTATGCAGAGCTATTTTTAAGACCACGTGCGGCTTCGTATACGCGCCCACTAGTCCTTGAAACGTTGGCAACTTTCGCCGGTTGAATAACATCTCGTTAACTTAACCTGTAGATACGCGTACAGATCGTGATATTACGGTCCACGAAAATCTGTCTGGAAATGTAACGTATCGTTCTGTAAACTTCCTGCGTTAAAAATCGAAACGGATCGCAATCCGAACCGTTGCAATCTTGGTCGGTTTCGATAGATGACAAAAAACGGGTAAAGGGGAACAAATAATTTAAGGTCGTTAGATCGGCCGACAAAGATAACGAGATAACGGTAAACGAAAAAATGGACGGTAAAAGAAACGTCCCAAGAACTTCATTCATCGCGCGAACGGTGCTAGGACGGGCAGGAGCGCGTATCGGACGGAACGCAATATGGGAAGAACGTACGTTGGCGATGTGCACGCGGAAACACGAGGAAACCCCGTCCGTTGCTGCCGGCGGGAAACGCGTCGTTTTCAACCCCCGGGGGTCCGGCCGTTTGGCAGGGTGAAATCGGTCTCTGGAAATCACGATCGCTAACTGAGTTTTTGGTTCGCATCCTCACCTGTGCGGCATGCGGAAGTACATGGTGTATGGCCAGAGTGGCGGGTTAGATAGCGGGGCCGTGATCGAGGAGTCGTACAGGAACGCCTGTTCCTCCATCATGGTGAACTGGTTGTTGCCACCTACGCGCAGGTACGGCGACCGCAGGCCGACCACGCTGTTGTCGGTCAGGTTCGCGTATTTTTCGGTGATGATGCGCATGCCGGCCATCTCCTTGGCCCAGTCCTCCACGGTGGCGTTACTCCAGAACTGCTCGTCGTCGTTGTGCCTGCAACAGAGCGCGAACGTGATTTAAACCGTGTGCGTGAGTGTGACACTTGTTTCCAGTAACGTTTCCGATACTTCAGATCCCCCCCCACCGTAATTACGTAAGTCAAACGAAGAACACAATTTGTTTATGATCCTATTACGAATGACATGTTTTTCGTTTTTTTTTCTCATAATTTAAATAGTTTGATTTTGTTGGACTGTAAAATATAGTAAAAAATCCATAAATCTGATTATAATCTAAAAACCCGATCAAACCCTACACTAGCTTAACCTTATCGATTCTAGTTGTACCAAGGTTACTTCATGAGTAATATGTTGTTACAAGTCTGAAATTTATTAAACTCTGGATCGTCCAATTCCCCCGGGTCATTTTGTTCGCTGTCCGCCTTTGGTGAAGGGTACACGAAACGAACCGAATAGGTTAGAGATGGTCGTCAAAACAACCGGAACCGCGAGAGCTTCCATATCCGCCCGCCACCGACAATTCCTACAGCCGAATACGAGGCAACCGTTATGAAAATTGGTTGGAGTGTCGTTATTGTTCGCTCTCGAGTAGAGCTCTTAAAATATGTGTCACGGAATTCACGTGTACACGTGAAATACATGTTTATCCAAAATATATATCCATTTTTACAATGGTAAAATTAGTAATTTTATGTTATACACTTGAAGTTTTAATAAAATATTAATAGTACAGTATTAAGTTAAGGATATACGTTTTTATTTTGGATTTTACACGTGACTCGTGACACGTGAATTCCGTGAATTCACGTGTATTAAGAGCTTTACTCTCGAGTGCGATTGTTTTTGTTCGTTTGATTCTTTGTATGTTTTCGCCATTCCAGCACATCCTAAATGAAATTCGCTTTCAACCCCCCCTCCCTCGGTTCTCACCCGGAACGGTCAGGGGCAAGTCAAATATCGTTCGGTTCAATTATATTTCTTAAAACGCTCAGTGTTTCTGTAAGCCACCCGCGATTTTATTTTGTTATTTCCGCCGCAAAACTAGTAGGTACGACCAGAAACGAATGAGTAGAATGACGTGAGCAACGTAGAAGTCGTTATTGCACTGTGTATTGTTATTACATTTTACTTATTATGTCAGTGGCTTAATACAACACGATCTTCCGTCTTTCACCCGATGCATTTATAGAGATTTTTTAATTAAATAAATACAAATTAAGAATTGTTAAACGATTAGTAAATAAATATTAAAATAATAGTCTATGTACAGAAATTAATAAACAAATGCTTAGTCAGGAGTATTATTATGTTTGTAAAGTACGACCAGTTTTGAATTGAAAATTCATCATCTGGTACGTACGAGTACAAAGTATATAATAATACTCTAGAATAAGCATTTATTTATGTATAAGATGTTTTTCATTTAATTATTTGACATTTTTTTCTACGCTTATTCGTTTTTTGAACAAATAAATATCAATATCACGTTTAGGCAAAGGCAACATTACGTTTAGTTACATACAATACTGTAAAGCACGACCGGTAAAAAATAAGAAGTTTTTAAAAGCTGCGAAAATGGATTTTTTGAAATACCATTCACCGCGGCTAACATACGTTATGTGACTTAAGTAAAAGGAAAACGTTAAAAATGAAAATCATATAATACATTAAATTACTCTTTTGATGATTTTCATTCGTGAAATATGTTTATGAGGAAGTGAAGATGACAATATGAATCGTCAATCGATCAGATGAACTAATACTTAACCTTGTAAATCCATCGTACAATAATAACGAATTAATTATATTTTTTTGCGTTCAAAGAATGATGCGTGTTAATTTTTGTTTTTTTTTAATATTATTATGGACGTCCGTCCATGACTTCAGGTTGACTGTTCGAGAATGAATCGATAACCTGCAGCGAAATAAAGGCTTCTCTACGCGTCAGATTTCATACAATTGCGCATCGTTTTTGTCTACCGAACAATGTTGCATTTCAATGGTTATTATCATTGTACAACGATGCGTGTATACGGACGTGGTAAAAAAAACAAACAGATAATTAATATATTACAATTTTTTTTTTAATACGATATAAAAAAAAAGCGGTCGACTCGTTCCGAACCGCTCATTAACCGTTTCGTAACTACATTATAATGACGGACGTGCTGATATGCAAGCAAGCACGTGGAAAACAGTGAAAACCAACGTTTCGAAACGTTCGAAAACGACCAGTTCGCGGCGTGATGAAAATACACGTTCGGGCACGCATCGCGTGCAAATCTAGTGCTCGGAAAAATCGGTGCGGTTCTGCACAGAGTCGTGCACCAGGGGTCCAAACCTCCCCCCCCCTTGGCTAATGTCAGTATTTATTTTTTAAAGTTACTCTGAAATTTTCATCATAACATTTTGGATTAAATTGATTTGATATTCTGCTCTCGAATCCGATGTACAAATAAAATCAACAATTGCAACCACAGTTTAATATAAAATATATACGTACGTCGAATACTCAAAACCATGGTTTACACTATAACTAATGACCAGGACTCGGGACTTTATGCATTTGCATATTTGTTTGGGAAATAAATAGAATAAATCTGATGTGGTACAAATTTGTATTTGGTGTTTAGAGTTGAATTTTAAAAGTTTACTGTGCATATTTTTGCATATTTTGGATTTTTTTTTTTCATTTGCATATTTTTGAGATTTATTGATTTAAACTGCATATTTTAAAATAATTGTTGGTAATTTACTCGAAAATCAAAAATATTAATGTAAAATTTTCATTTTTGACATGCTATAAAAATTTTATTTAGAAAACTAAACGCGCTGATATATAATTCATTCTAAATCAATTTTATCTATATGAATTCGTTTGCAATAATGCCGATAGGGCGATACTCAATAGCGTTATTCCGCTTATTTTATTCGGGGAGCCCATTTTATTTTTAGCTCTGAAGACAATTTTAATTTTATTTATTTGTCTTTCAAAGAATTATTTTGTTTGCAAGTACTCAGTAATCGACGAATCACGGACGATGATCGTTTTTTTTGTTAATAAATTACTGCGTATTTTGTCGTGTTTGTCTTCGCGTTCGTATTTGTTTTCGTGGCTTGTGTCTGTTAATTTATTAGTGCTCATATTCGTGGTATAATTTTCTTAAATTAATAAATAAATAAATAAATATACCGAAAGAAAAACAATCACAAATTATTCGCTTGAGCAGTTTCATTTGGAATTTGGTAGTAGTAGTAGTAGGTATGTGCATGATATATATTTTTTTTTAATTAAATTTGTACTAGTACATCTTTTTTAATTAAAAATTAATGCATATTTAAGCGCATATATTTATATTTTATGGTGCATATGTATGCGCTTATTTTTAAGATTTTAAGCACATAAAGTCCCGAGCCCTGCTAATGCCTAAACCCTAATTTAACTGGCATAATAATAATAATTGATTTACATACATTGTAAATAATATGTATATTAAATAAAATAATTGCGTTTATAAAGCAATAAAATGTACATATTGTTTTCCTCGGAAAAAGAACGGAAAATGTTTTTTTGATCCCCCCCCCTTGAATTAATCCTGGTTGCACCACTGGCGTGCACAGCTACTGTTTGCGCGAAACGCGCTAACGGTCTTATCGGTGTCCGTGCGAGTGGACGCTACTGAAAAAACCGAAACGTCTTTTTCGGTCACGATTGCTCAACGGTCACATTCTTCGCGTCCCCAATATACTCGTACAGGTTTACAAGAAATACGAGTATTTTTATACGTGCGCACGAGTTTCGGGAACATAATATACCTATTTTAGTACGCGTTATTCCTCCTCCTCCTCCTCCTCCTCCTCCTCCTCCCCCCCCCTATTAACACAGGAGTTTACTGAAATAAGAAAATATACCGCTAAAAACAACCAGTGTACGGTCGTACCGGTTTTAACACCACGTGAACACGAAACATTATACCGACTGCAGTTATGCGTTCTGAAACGTGAGCGCGGACGCCACGTTTTCTCGGCATTCCTGACCAACAAGATTGCACACACGCATACCGATTGGAATAATATTACACGTTTCCATCATCATCATCATCGTCACCATCATCATCGTTGCACGCATGTAATAACACGATTTCTCGTGAACCCCGTGAACGATTGCGCAGCCGATGGCAACGTCCTTGCGAACATGGTTCGCCGTAAATCTTAAAAAAAGGGAAACTTGTCGGTTCTCGAATCGTCTTCGGTAACCCGTCCTCCTCGACTCGGTCGCACGAAATATTATCGCTGCTTTGCGCGAGTTATTATTTTTATCGTTCTAAACACATTGTTCGGTCTTGAATTCGGACGAACGAATCATGTTGGTGTTGTTCACGTCTTCGTCGTCGTCTAGCGAATTCCGCTTTTGTTTCGGACACCGACGTATTCAACTAAGCTATATTGCAGATGACGATTTTTTTTTAATATTTTTTTATTTCATCGACTAGCCACCATTCTCTTCGGTTGCATTAATTATTGCGCTGCCTCGTACGAGTATATGCATAAACGTACACAACCTACCAATCAACCCGATCTACCTACCGGATTATTACATGACAGTTTTTACTTTCCAGTTCATTCGTACTCACTTTCACGACCGTCGAACATAATATTCCATTGTTGACGTCGCATCGGCCCAATATCGTTTTTACCGGCCCGTCGCTACGTGCGTACTACAATAGGAACAATATTTTCGGCTAGAAAGGGAAACGGATAGTATTTTTATTAGGGAATCGTGAATCGCGTCGCCGTCGTTAAATCTTTACGAGCGTCGCGTTCGTATTCGTTGTTAACACGTGCAAAACAATCGACAGTTCGCCCGACTAGTTCGGTCGCTGTTAGGCATCTTAAAGTTGCTAAATCGTGGTAATATTATGCACAAAATTGTTCGCGTTGCACGTAAGTTGTTCAAGACGGTAATAATACGTATTTTGCCCTCCCCCAACCTCTCATCCACCCGGGACCGCCTTATGGTTTTGGCGATAGCATAAACGGTTAACTAATAACAGCCACTCACTACTACTAGGTGGCTTTGATCCGGAATAGAAAGAAATGAAACAAAGTTGAAGGAGGCCAGAGAGGTTATCCACCACTCGCCCTCACCTCTCATGCCATCCTGATTTATCCGCCGTTTTCAGTTTAATAACAGGCCATTTCGAACGCGAAGGCAAAATATGTGTACTACCTGAAAACGATCCTGGTTATCTGTAGGATCGTTGTTATACGTCGAAAACATGACGTATTCTCGATCATTATAGGGATTGACCGCGACGCATGTCCGGACGTTCAGACATTGCTTATGACTTCGCGACGGTAACAACATTATAGTAATATTAACAATAATAATAGTAATAATTATATACGCACGTTATCGAGTGCACTGCGATCTCGTGACCTTTCCTGTGGGTCTCCTGCACCGCCGAGTAATTGGTGTACTTGTGCGAGACGAAGAACGTGGCTTTGATGTCGCACCCGTTAGGATTCCTGCGCTTGCCGTTGAATATCTCCTTGTAAAGCTCGATGTTGTTGTTGTTGATGGCGTCGTCGAAAGTGATCGTGATCATCTGCGGCACCTCTTTGGCCGGCAGGTCGTTGGGTATCCCGGTACCGTCCTCGGAGCAGAAGCAGTCGGGCAACACGCACACGGCCGGGTCGCAGGGCGGCGCTCGGTTGGGATCGTTATCGTTGTCTGCGGAAAAACACACGCACAACGCGTTTCACAGGGTTGGATCAAAATCATCGAAACACAATAAGCGTTTCTTTCGACATTTGGATGTCCGCGGAGTTTTTGACGATTTTCAAACGGATTCGTCGCGCGTTTAACACCGTTAAACGTCGTACAAAGCATGATGAGCGTGTATTGTTTTATGCGTTGATTCGCAACCGTTCGCTACGGGTTCGTTGCGGAGGAGTTGAGCATTTCAAATGTATCGGGAACGGGTTATCGTCTGTAATGACGATTGGACTTCGTACGCGTGCTCGGCGGATATCATGTGGGATCGCGTCGGTCGTACGAGCTTTTCCGAGGAGAAATTGAAAACTTTTTCGGAAACAATTCGCTAGCGGAAAACGTGCTCGCGCGAAATGCAAAAGTTCGATTCGTATGGAACAAATTTTTCGACAGTGAAATCATTACGGGATGGTCGTTAGGTCAACGTACTACGATTAGCGTTCAATAGCTTTACATTTCGCGTAACGAAAATAATTGATACGTCCCGTTAAGGCGAAAAACGTCCTCTCGAACTGTAATCGAATAAAATCAACCGATTAAAAACGTTTTCCGACTTCACGGTTTGAAATGACCACTATCGTCTATTCCGTGTTACTGTTAAAATATTATTTACAAACCACAAGAGTTTTCGTCCGAGCCGTCCGGGCAATTCTTTTCGCCATTGCAAAATAGTCCTCGTTCGATACACGACTTGTCGCCGCAAGATAATTCTCCATCCTGGAAAAATGAAAACACATTGTTATAGATGAGGTAGAAGTGTTGTTTTTTTATCATTACGATCTTCCTTTTCACAGATACATTTTATAACGCGAAATATCATTCGTGGGAACCGAACGATTCGAATCGTGTAAGATCATAATATTGTGAGTATATATAATAACCTCGCAAGAGTAATATTCGTGTAAAACTCATAGATCAATTTAAGATTTTTATCTGATGACGATAACAACGACGGCAATGTTATGATAATGAAAGACGAAAAAACGAATCGAAACGAGCTTCAATAATAGAATCACGGATAATAGTGTGTACACGGTTGGGTTGTTTATAAAAACAAAAAAGTTTAAAAAAAAAATGCAGTAATAAAAATATTTTCAAATAATTAAATTCAAACTCTCAAGAGTCAGCGTGGCGAGACGACGACTCGAGGATAAATAATTCAAAAGACCTTCAAACGCGTTCAATGCATATCGCCGCTGAGATAATAGCACTGCACGTATCATCATTATCTGTACATACGCATTCGTGTAATGTGATTAAGACAATTGTTCGATCGTTACGCGTACCAGCGAGTATGATGTACAAGTATTATTTAATAAAAAAAAAATTAAAAAATAAAATCATTAATTCAATACCTGACACAATGGTTCGTCTGTGAACAATAAAGGCTTGACTTTGCGTTCTTTATTCTTCAACTTGCAGTTTTTCACCGCAGCCTTCCAGTCACACGTTTGTTTTTCGATGTCGAAGTACAAACCGGCCGGGCAACGAATGGCTTGTAGTCCCTGTTGAAATACAAGAACGTAAGGATTAGTTAAACGACGTGTGGATAACGTGAATTCGTTCACATATATGTACTCGTGTACATTATTGACATTGTACAAAATAATATTATTGTGTGCGTTTTATGTTCGAAGGAACGAGTACCTTTGTGGATTAGCCGTTTGTGCATAGGTGCAACTAGGGGTGCACGATAGAGGTTTTAGCACCTCTGAATTCAAATGTAGCACTCTTGTTTTTTTTTCAAATCTATATAACCTATAGTAATTACAATTAATACCATTTAATTTTATTTTCAGCAATTTTAGCACCCCAATATTTGGGCTCTAGTTGCGCCCATGCATTTGTGTACGTATTGCACAATCTTTTATGCAGTTCAAAGAAAATTTCAACTTTCATCATTGTCATTAGTTATTTTATTCTAATTTAGAAACTACGTTCGTCGGTTTTATGAACAGTACAATAAATAAAAACGTATTATGTTGTTCGGAAACGTACAATTATTAACCATGTGTAACAAACTTTTATAGGATTATTTATAATTACTTTGATATTAGCAATTATAATCCCGTGCGGATCATGACCGAAAAATTGAAAAAGAACGAATGAATAATGACTAGGTAAACTTGTACAATTACGAAAATAGGATAACACAATATATGACATTCGTTTTCCCGATTTCGAAGTATATGCGATAATTAGATATTTGACCAAAGTTAATGTGATATCGTAATATTATTGTTGTAAGATTTGTGTTAGGCAATAGTGTTATCGTCCCGTATTTATGCGAATAACTTTCTTTTTCTTTTAACAAAACTAACGTTGTATCATAATTTGACTTACGAGAAATAATGTGTTCGACATACAGCATTGTAATGGTTGTTCGTTGAAATACAAACATTATTCGTTGAAATCATAAATCCTAATACATTATCAATACCACAAAACAATTAATAAATTATTCGCAGTTGTCTATAAATAACGTCACAAATATATGCACGTCAATATTATATTTTAATTTAACGATATTTTGATAAAAAAAATGCACTTTATTTATTCAACTATTCGACAAAATGTTTGAACCGATAACAAATTATTATGGTGCGATTAAATGTTTTTTTTACATATTTTTTGTTTATCTTGCTTTGTAAAAAATAAGATTATAAAAATTCTGCAATCAAAAGTATTTCGCGTTGCTATATAACGTTAATATTGAAATTTGAATAATCTAATTTGACGATATACATATATACCGGGCACATATACCGAAATATTTTAAATAAATAAAAATAATGATTAGGCGGGATTTAAATTAAATCGATTCAAAATCATGTACTCATACTAGTTGAGTTTAAACATATTAACAATATAATATGAAGTCGAAAAAATGTAAGAAAAACATTTTGAACATAAGATTATATAATTATATATATATATATTAATCTCCGTTATTATATGTGTCACACTTGCTCATCGGAGGTGAAATATTAAATTAAAATTAGCGTCAATGATATAAAAAAATAAATAAATAAAAATAATAATTACACATAAATACGTTGTTAGAAAACCGAATAGTACGTGATGTTGTTTTGGGTCACTCAAACGCCTCTCATTTCGAGAATTTTGTACTTTGAATCGATTACCGTGCCACATACGGTACATTATAATATTAAACGTGCATGTTTCATGTGTAGTCGAAAGGGAAATTAACGTTCGAAATAAAAAAAAAAATATGCGCATAAAAAATCGTAGTGCGAACGGAACGCACGGGAACAATCGCATGATTCCGCTGGGACAATATTTGAACGTAGGTGATTTTAAATTCGTGACCCGGTGAAATTTGCGCTCAATCACAATAACATCTGGCCTCGCGCGCGCCGATGGTAACCGTTTGAATCGCACCGTTTTCGTTGCGATTCGCATTTTGAAAGCAACATGGAAATGTTGCGCGGAACAATATTGTTTCATTTTGTTGAAACGAAGACGAATAGAAAAAGTTCACTCGCGATGCAATCATCGCGTTTTCTACTTACCGACGATGTGCACTGAATGACGTCACGACAGCTGTCACCGTCTTGCGCCGTCAACCGAAACCATTCTCCTGCGTCTTTATCTTTGCATATTTCTATCTCGAAACTTTCCTCTTTCTTGGGTTCACTTGTTGCCGCCTGCTGACGCTTAATACGTGACAGTAACGAATCACAAGACCCTGAAAATAAAAATAAAACGGGTCGCTGTTGATTCCGGCTAATACGAAATAAGTTTACATGTTTATTATATTACGCAGGTGACCTCCGAATAAAACGTTTTACATAATTTATCATCTGATTCGGTTGCAGTAATTTTATGAATGTTTCATAATCGTATTTTTTTTTACGAATTATAATTTAATTTAATTTCAAGTTTTCAATAAGAAACACGTTTTTTTGTTCTGCAACATTATTACATACTTTTTATATATTACAATTTTGTCGATTTTCTGAAATTGGTTTTTAAAAATAATACAATAAATATGCGTTTCTTGCACATAAATTCACCATAAACATGTTTCGCAAATCAATGAATTGGAATATTTATACTTTCAAAAAATATTCTTTAAAATATTTATGCATACGACTCAAAATTTTTTTGGACAAATCGAATTCACCATCATTTTCAACATTAACCAGACAAACACAATAGTTATTAGCTTAAAGTTTAACGCTGACCAATGCATTCGATACATGGCGTTAATTTTATCCGAAACATTTTCAATCGTGAATTTAACCAATCGTCGACGGATCAAGACGTCAAAAACTACTACAATTGCCTACGAGTACACCGAAGAGCAACGACGGAGTATAATTAGTATATGCTGATAAACAGTTTGCTGAAAACAATATTCGTACTTCGGTTCGTGTGAACGTCGACTGCGGCAAAAAAATGTTGGAATTCTCGTATCGATTACAACGTTTTTCGGTGGACTCGGATTCCGCGAGATTGTTAGATATTGTTTTCTATTTTCAGTCGGCCGAACAATCGTTTCGACTGCCGCGTCGGAATGCGTTCCTCGTTTATCTGCACGACAACGTTTATCCGACCGTGATATGTTGGATTCGTACAGTTAAAACGCAACTCGTGGAGTGTTTTTTCGGTACTTATTAATTATTTTTTCCGCCACCGAAATCTCGTTAGATTCGCCACGCCACCAGAGCTGGTGGTTCGGACACGATTAGGATGTATCGCGTCTAAGTAAAAAATTGGTCGGAAATACGTCGTTTACACGATTACGATTTTTACAGATCGCCTATCAAACGTGTCGGGTTTATTCGCCCGTGCAGTTTTCGTGACATGATCGCGGTTCGTGATCCGCGTCCTGAAGGACGTAGGGTGATTGAATAAACTAGATCAATCCGTCCCGGAAGCGTTCGTCTAGCGCAACGGTAGGCGGTACTACGCGACCTCCGTCCGGGTGACGTTAAAGCCGCGTTAACCCGTTCACAGGACACTCAATCCGTTTGCGGATCAAACGCATGTGGGGTTCTAATGTTCTGCCGTAGCGGTGACGAACTCACAAAGTGCACTCGGCGCAGCCTTGTTATCGTCATTGTTATTGTTAATGTGTCGCGCGAGTATTGTTCCGCTTTCACGGCGGACGGACGTCGAATGGAATTCGAAAAAAAACTTCGTACGGCGAAATTGTTCGCCCGATATTTATGCGTCGAAACGTAGGCGGCCCGGCAACGTGTTGAACGGAATACGGGAGAAGGAAAAAAAAAGGAAAAGAGAAAAACAAAGCTTTGGCGCGTTCCACTTTCTACGGCGGCGGTGCTCATCCGATTCGTAAACGTAGCGCGTGACATACGTGTCAATGTCGTGCTCGATACGTCTAACCCCTTTCTACGCGTCGCGGTGCGAAAGCGATCGATGGAAAACACCTGAAACGACACTCAAGCGGTCGGACGGGATGCGCGGCCGCGGGCGAACCGACTTGTAAAAGGAGACAGGACCGAGAAGGAACCGTGGTTTACGCCGAACGGTCAAGGAGTGGGGGTTTCGTCGCACCGCGGTACGCGGTTTAGAAATCGTAAAAATTGAAACTGACCGTACGATCCTGCGGGCGATAAATCGTAATAATAATAATAATAATAATAATAACGATATCGTATTTTTAAACCAGTTTTCGTCTCCAGAAGGACGAGCGCACACGCGCAAAACGAGTACAAGCGAGGGCTCGCGTGAACACAACAACACCGTATCGGTACGGAGAGCAGCTCTTCGAACTGGGATGAACGCCAGGGACGAATGCGCACGTCGGCTCCTGATCGCCGTTAAAAGCCGAGACGGTCCGAGGACTTGGTGAGGACGTATAACCGGTATCGCAGATACGGAATTGCGCGCGAACGGGTCAATTGCACTGCCAAAACACGTGTTTGCGACGTCACACATTGTTCGCAGTTTTTCCGCACCGAGTGAAATCTCATCTTTTGCCACGGTCGACGCCCGCGGCACGAATTGTTATTGTTACCATCGTTACCGTTACGTCGGTATCGTATATCATGCACGCATTATCGTGATGACGTTTTTAACCGTAGCAGGCCGTTGCATTATTGTTGTCGACATCACGCACGTAACACGAGCGGCTCGAGCCGATTTGTTCAACGAGTCGTATAGGTGTGATTTCGGTTAACGACTAGGACGAGGAGCAATAACAGTTTAAACCGAACGCACATACGCCCGGCCACTGAAACCTGTAGCCTAACCGTGGAAAGCACAAAATATGGTGTCCGTTTGAGTACTGCGGTGTTCTCGAAAACAACTACGCAATATGAGTGATTGTTTGAAATTATTTAAGACGGGGAAAAATAAATAAACGAAACAAACAATTTTACGGATTTCGCCCGCAATAGGTGACTGTTGTGTTCTCGTCGCGCACGATACCGTCTGACGTCCAAGTGCAACACAACATTTTATACAGCGAACCGTTTTCATTGCACCGTTAAAAAGCTCCGCACACGCGTTTAAGCGTCGGCACGTGTGCTGCAACGTGAACGGATTTACCGTCCAAATCGTTTTCAACGGAATGCACGGGGAATGAGTGAGTGCGCGCGCGCTTGTACAAACCGATTGCAAAAGCTAACCGCCGAACAGGTGATTTATGCGACATTTTCGTTCGCTTTGTTCATTATCCGCGCCTAATCGTTACAACTACACGTAATGCATCGTGTACGCAACGTGCCCCGGGGGAAACCGCAACAATCGTAGTACACATTATTGAAACACGATTTCGAATCGACTTTCTTCGTACACGCGATTTAATGTGTTGTTATTCGTTTCGTTCTCTGTAGGCTATGCGAGTCGTTCTTTCCCCCTCCCCTCCCCCAAACTATTACTACTTCACGTTGTTGAGGGGTTCCGGACGGTAACAATACACGTTTTATCATCCGCGCACACGAAATGGCGTCACATTAGAAAAATAAATAAACAAAAACATGACCAAAAAGCAGTACAATGTTAAACGTTAGAAGCTTTTAAAACGATCTCGATCGTTAGAAAGACGTATCGTGTTAAGCGTGCGTTCAGTACGTTCAGCAGTGCACATGCCTTTCGAAAACGCAATTTTGTACATCCTTTTTTATACGGCACTGCTGAATTTTATGAATTTTTATTTTTTTAATGTTTTCGACGGCAACAAACGTTGTGAAATGCACGCAAGAGACTTTAACTCGCCGTTTAAAAATCGCGCACGGATCTGCCACGTCTCGTACAGCAACGCGCGCGCACGTACGGCGCGACACACCCGTCTGTCGAGAATGCATACGAACAGTGTTACGGGTCGGATGCGCGTTACTTACCCAACGAGACCAAGTATGCGATCGCCAGGAGCCTGAGTGACGTTGACATGGTGGCCCTCATGACTGACGCGAGCGCACATCCACTTTCGGCGAGAACGAAGTGCTGCGTGGTCCGTGCGGTGTCCGGGTCCGGAGAGGAGAAGTGTTTTTTTTTTTTTTATGAAAATATGATTTGAGTACTACTCGTTGAACGATGAAAAAAAAAAAATCGAAAAAAAAAAAGTTAAAATATATTTCAATATACTACGATTATTATACGAGTGTCCGCAACGGTGACGGACGGAACAAGACTCGGTTTCACAATTGGCTGCGGCGCGTCAATTTATTGTCTTATATACGCCGGGGCGACGTTTCACCGGGGCGTCGCTCCGATCGCCGTGCCGACAGGTAGAGCCACCAGACCGCACGCGCCACGGTCGTGAAAGTCTCTCTCGCGCGCGCGCGCTCGTGATTCCGTGCCACTAACTATCGATAACGATTAATAATAACGATAATGATAAACTTCATCGCAACAATAGAATCTTTCGGGCGACGTTTCCCGAGGATTATTTTGATTTGAATATCGCGGCGCCAAACCTCGCTAGCGATAAGCTCGTGCCGGGGGCACGGTTCTTATTGGTTAAGTAAGTTCCACCAGCCCATATTTTACAGTGAACTCCGACACAAAGTGTGTAGTCCAAAATCGGAAGTACGCACTACGGATTCGAGAAGCACCTGATAAATAATTAATAATTAACACTGCTACGAAGGTAATAAAATACTACGCAGGCTAAATATATATATTCGATTTAAAATTGCATGTCCTACATTAAAATAAATAATTTGTTAACAGTTTTCAGATTTATACCAGACATGAGTATATTTTCAGTTTAAAAAATAATAACAGATGATGGTTATCTAATTATAATGAGCAATTTCAATAATAAAAAATAACTATTACTAGAAATCATAATTATTAGAGGAAGTGGGGTAAAGGAGTACTCTGTATCATATCGTTGTACGTTCAAAAATGTGTAGTACGAATTTTAATGAAAAATAGTGGCTGAAATACACGATAACGATTAAATACACGAATTCGATGTGATCGCGACGGTGATCAGAGAAAATAATTTAGCCGTATCTGAAAACGACGGAAAAATAGCTACGCAGACTTCGCGCGTACGGAGATAACGATTACGTTTTCCGGTTTGGCCGTCGATCGGAACAAGACGTATACAACATTATAAAAACGATCCGCGAAAACCTCGATCCGACGGACTATAGTTGTCTCCGTTCTGGTCTATTTTATTTTATTTTTAACTTTTTTTTGAAAGACATGGGCCTTGTTGATTTTCACACACAGCGAATAATCACGTCTCGTCGAAGACGATCCCATTCGATACGATCGAACGTATCTGAACTTGAAGACTCGGAGGTCAAGGCCCCGCCGCGATGCAGTCCTTCAGAGGCGAGCACTTAACCCGTTACCCATCAATATCACATCCGTTTAAAAAAATATTCATTTGGATTTCAATGAATTTACATATTTGTGATAAATCATTGCACGTGTTTACATTGCCATCTAGAAAGTAGACACCCGTCATCCTCTGGATAACTAATAGTCCGTTGAATATTCCGCGTGCCACTGTCGCAGTGTTCCTTTATTTTACCGGACAGCTTTCTAAATTATTTTTAAACTTCGATTCATTAGGCAACCGGAAGATTTTACGATGCAAAACCTGAGAATAACAAAAACGTACAGAGACAAGATGGTTAAACATTACAATGGGTCATAGAGATTGAATGCCTTACTGGCATTTGTAGTGGTTCTTACACATTCGTTACGATTTAATCAAACGCACCTGTTCATAACCGTGTCAAGACTGTGATAAAGGTGATAAACGTAACAATACAACTACCAGTTTTGATATTTAGTCGCTGTACTGCGATGAAAAAAAGTGAAGTAAATGAAAAAAGTATCGAGACACATTTTTGTAACACCTGGTGTTACGCGATATTTGATTTTAGGTTTCTGTATCACGCAGGTATTCCGTATACGAGTCTGACCTTATGTACGTTCGACGCGTTCGCAACTATAGTGTTACCGCGATAACTGATAAACGCTGTTGATTTCACCTAAACGATTTTGTTCGTTCCGCCGATTTCGTTCGACGTTGTCATACTGAACTCGGGCGTTTTTTAACGACTGTTAATTTCGCGAGCACAATCGAACGTATTTATAACGACGTGCAAATAAATTAGCAAGTAATCGAAAACATCATCGGTAAGACTCGACACACATCTATATACTCTTTTCCCTTCCATTGTTACCGCATACATTTCTCGTACTCACGCTAGCAATAATAATATTGTCGTATAAAACGAGACAAATCGTAAAACGATATCGCGATCGGAGCCGATGAACTGTGTGTGCGCCGAACGGACCGAGAAAACTCGAGTAGACGTGCAGCATAATATTAATAACATATATTGTTGATGACGACAACAGACATACACGTTTTTCCGAAAAGCAATTGTTTTTTTTCAAAACGTTAACGCGCACCTCTTCGGAGCTTTGGTACGATACGAATGCATTTTCGAACTGTACCAGTTGTTTTCTCCAATTTTCAGGACGTTCGGCTCGAACATTCGCCTGCCCGGTTCACTGACGGAACGCGATCGGCGACTCGGCGGTTCGTCGGCCGGGTCGGCGTCGTCAGTCTTAAACTTCGATGTCCGGTCTCTACCCGTCACTTTGGCCAGGATATTCCACCAACCACGATCTGAAACGTCGTACAATACGTATTTCGGTCATTTCGATACGATTTCGGCGGACGTTTGAGCGCGCGGCGTAACGCACGAAACAACTGTTCGGAGGGCCAACGATGGGTTGCAACGAACGAACAACGGAGCCGAAATGATTTGTCCTTATTATTTTTTTATTTTAATTTTTTTTATCTTAAACCGATTTATTTTCGTCCGTTTGACACACTTGCTATTGTCTTCACGTTGATTCGTCGACAACAGGACGGACCGAAAACATATCAGATCAGTTGTGTTACGCAGTTCGAAAAATAGATCGCAGCACCAATAACGTGGTAGCGAAAAGCCGTGGGACGAAAACGGTAGAAAAGAAAAACCCCTTTTATTATTTTCCACGTCACTCCGCTCGGAACGTAAAACAAAACTGTTACGGTGGTACAACTCGATACGCCGTATGTTTACTTTTAGGCAATACATTTTACGTTCAAGTTGTTTTTCAAACGCTTGCAAGTACGAGGAGTTCATATTGGTATTATACCGTTGCCACACGCCGAGATCATAATAATACCACACTGTCAGCGGCGTGCTCAGCTTTTTCCTAATGAAAGGATGGGGGACATAGGCGCAATTAGGGGGGCTGGAGGGGCTAAGCCTCCTCAAAAACATTCAAAGCCCCCCAAAAAACATACAGAACTTTATATTATTATATTGATAAATAAAAAAAAATATGTAATTACTACTGAAAAAACGAATAAAATACATTTTTGTTATTCTTTTTTTAGTAACAATATTATAATCATAGTCTTAAATAATATTTCTATTATTTCTAGAGTCTAACTATTTAACCATCAAAGAAAATATATCTAAAGTTACGTTTCCAAATCTTTTTAAAATTATTTAATTGGCTATCACTCTTCCGGTCAGTTCGGCTACTTGCGAACGGTCATTTTCTGCAATAAAAAGAATTAATAATTATCTCAGGTCTACTATGTCACAGGAACGGTTTTCGAAATTCGCAATACTTAATAATGAGAGAGATATTATTGTTGACACCGAAATTATTTTAAATACATTTGATAAAAAAAAATAGAAAAATAAGAATATAAATGTAAAAAACTATATTAAATGTGTTATCTATACTTAAAAGCGAATTATTGTTTTATTATTTATTTTTAAATTTTACTTGCCTTTCAATAAACACATTTTTTATAGAGGGTAAAGGGTGGAAAAAAAGCTTCTGATATTCAGTGATTGAAAAAGTTATATGAGGGGCTGAAGCCCCCCCAATTTTTTTACTCTAATTGCGCATATGGTGGGGGACGAACTGCATTTTGTTTTTTCGATAAAAGTCATACAAAAAAAATGTACAAAATGTTCTTATTGGTAAATATCGTTGATACATTTGACATTGATTGAAACCTAACTACGGAGTATGGGACACAATACTATAATAGCACAGATAAAACTAAATGAAAAATTCGAATTTTGAAACGAACTTGAGTACGCTTTGAACAGTAGTCTACAATGCACAGTGCATGGTTATATTATTACCTATGGTTTTCTGTTTGGCGATCCGGTTATTTCACCACGGTCTATTTTAATCATTCGTTTTTATTTTTTTATTTTTTTTACGCATATTCTTATGTACATTTCTTGAACAGTATGAACCGTTTATAATAATATTCAATTAATTAGTGAAAAATTATTTTAAAAAGTTTGTAAATAATTATATGAGTACAACAAAACGTTTTACATTTCTATCGGCTGTAAATTCGACCGGTACACGGTACATTACCGTTGATCGAAATTATACGAAATAAAATAACTTATATGGATTAACATTACGTATCGCATTTAAATACCCTTTGAAATTCTTAAATTGGTATTCATGGTCGCCCGCACGTATCGAAACGCAGGAGTTGCGTCCATTTTACTGTGTCGCTCGGTGAACAGTGCATTCCAGTCTGTAAAATTAAACATATGATTTTTAACTATCCAACTTGTCGAAAACAAAAGCATAAAAGTTCTACGAACAACAACATTCCGAGGTTGATATTTCATACGAAATTAAATGCATAAATCGCTTATTGATAAAAAATAATGATATTTTTTAATACTGTTTTATTAAATTACAGAAAATCGCTATGTTTATAGTTAAACGGTAAGACTAAAAAAATGGGTCTGGTAGATTCGGTTTTCTCAGCACTCACTCCCTAGTTCTGGATTGAACGTGCGCCCGCGACACTACTGCGGTGATGTAAACTCGACTGCAAGAGCCGTTGCGGTTGCGTGCGGACGAGCGATTGGATACAAAATCAAAGCGCACCGTCAAGCCGGTCCCGCACGAATCGTGAATAATCGTCAATCGTGATGCTTTACAAGTCGTGTAGGTACTTAATCGTCAAGTATGGCGATCATTTTCACTCGCCGATTCACACCGGTGGATTCCCATCGGTTGTCGGTAAATGCGACACGAGTCAAAGAAATGATTGATTGATCGATCGTGTTCATTGATCGACAAGTGTACGGAGTGTGTGGAGGAGCGATCAAATCGTCAAATCAAAATAATCGGCGA